AAAATCCCACTACGCTAATATTAATATACGGCATCGTAAGGATTGAAGGTCATTAACTTATTCATACAAAATCCTTTCACTACTTACATGATTTCTCATTTTACAGAAAAATCCCAATATCAAAACCTTGCATAAATAAAATGTTCTTAGTATGAAAGACTTCACCTAGGAAATGGAAAATGCCAATCTAAAAAACACTAATAATGCTAATACATATGGCTATAATTATGGATCTAGTAAAATTTGCATCAGCCTTAGTGTATGCTTATCTAGAACCAATGTGCACAGTTGAAGATAACTAACATGAATGCCATTGGAAGACTCTTTCTCTGTGTCTGCTATCTAGAGTGATCCAACTTGATCTCACATCTGTCGTCTATTGGCAATTAGCGGAAATCCCTGATATTCCTTTGCTGTGCATTTGCAGCGACCGGCTGGTGCGTCATCAGGAGAGGCGCAAGCTCTTCTGGGCGGACGCCATGCTGTTCGCGTCTTCTACAAATGGCGCAGCACCGTGGGTAATAAGTATTTGGCGCGCAGCATCCATGAAATCTATGCCCGCCATGGCATCGCGCCCCTCTTCCCGTCCTTCCTCGATGAGCTGCACCACTTCTCGTGCTCCGAGCATCACGTTGATAAGGTGCGCTACGATATCTGCAAAAGGCATGGGTATACAAGCCGCTTGGCTCTGGATCTCTGCTGCTAACCCAAACCGACAGGAAATCTCGAGAATGAGATCCCTGACCAACTCTGCTCAAAAGGTCGTTGTGATTGGGGCATGCTAGTTCCTTCCCTGAATCACAGACACACTTCCAGCTCCTTGAGTTGAGCACTTGTCATACTTGTGAGACGAGTCAAATTGTTGACATGTAGTGGCCAGAATTTCAATGGGCGAGAGAGTTGTTCCATCTTCCAGCTCCACACCATCATCTTGTTGGCGGAAAGACTGAGCTAGTTTAGTCTCGGTAACACAATGATCCCTTTTTACCGAGAGAAAAGCTGGCACAGGGGCTCTGTCACGTCGAAAACGTGGTGGAGGGGTTTGATTTGGACTCGAACGCTTTGGGAGGTGTTGTCAAGGCTTGAAGCAGCAGAGTAGCTTATCAATCGCTGGAAAGCAGACAAAGAATCAGTACCGAAGGAACTGAAGTCTAGAAACATACAGTCATGCAACTTCTCGTCTGTCCAATTATCCTCTTCGTCTTCCTCGTCTTTCACCTGCAAAAATCGAGTCAAATGAGAAGAAAAGAAAAGTGAGTTTCTTACCGAATCCAACAGACTAATCATGATGGGACGGAATGCCGGATTGCGCCAGAAACATGCCTCTGGATCCCAGCCAGGAGCGATCAAGTACGTAGACCATTTTCTTTTCTTCAAGCCTTTTCACGTTTTTCCGTTTTCTTCTTTCCTAGCAGGACATCAAAAGATCATGGACGCTCTCAGCATTCGACTGACAGATTCGCGGGTCTTCGTTCCAAAGTCGAGCTTCACTCCACAGTTTTGGAGCTCCATTGTCCGACGAGGGCCATGAGCAACCTCTTCTTCTAGTGGCTCCAATGCCCCGATGGCCAGGGCAAACACGAATATATTATGGTGGACAGATCAACGAGGCCTACAGACAACAGGGTCTACCACTCTGCCAAAACTCCCCTTCGCCCACTTATCAGAGGAATGAGTTTGGGCGCAATATGAGATATGGCGAGAGTGCATGCCTTCTGGCATTCTCCAGATCAATGCCGAGCAGAGCTTTGTGAACTTCGTGGCCGCAGTATGTGTGCAAGAAGATTCGAGTTCTCTGACGGACTGGCGACCGGACGACATGCTGTACTGGGCGTCTTCTGGAAGCTACCATTTGCTAAAGCCAGTGCTGGGTGGAGACCATGAAGTGGTTTTTATATTTTTTATAGGTGAGTGTGGGAGTGAAATCTTAGTGATTTGATTTACTGTGTCTTCTTGCAGGACTTGAACACACATGACGCGTTTCTTGTGAGGAATATCAAGGTCGAATACATGGAAAATTTCATTGAAAGCCCAGAAGAGTTTGAGATTGTTTTCCGGGAAATAAATTTACCAGGTAGAGTTCAATCTGAGATATGTTGTTTGTTAACGGGATCTGAGTGCAGAGTGCACGAGAGCTAGCATGGAGCGTCGCTTGGACGGCCCGACGATAGTTCGCTGCAGAAACGTCAACTTCGAGTGCTTCTGTCATGGTAGAGGAGGCCTATAAGCGAAAGCTCTCGTCGAAGTGGCAAGGATTTGGAGAGTTTGTTCCACAGCTGGCGTATTAATGGGAGCGTAGCAGAGAACACCACAGAGAAAGATATCGCAGAATGCAGTCGTGCAGCAAGTAACTATCCGGGAGAAAAGATTGCTCCTGTGACGCGGGGCCAAGAAGTGGGACCTTGTGTCGTCAGGCTCGTCAAGGATTGCTCTGCTTTTCTTTTGCTCTGCTCATTCTCTAATCTGGTTTTTAAATCTCTTGCAGGATTTGACTACGAACGCAAGAAACGAGCCTAGAGAACAAATTAATGTTTTCCTGAAGGCAAGGAAGACAATATCAGACCAAAGAGATTACTGGAAGTGTTATGTAAGTGCTTGAATTTTCTCTTGAAACAGTTTGTCATTGACATTCGACATGGAGGCGTGATTTAGAAATGTAAGTAGTTCAATTTTTATAACATCTTCAGGCGAGGCTTGTACTTACCGTGTCAATGCACATGAAGAGCTAGAAACCGGATCTTAAAATGGAATTTTAAAAACTTGTGCCTTTTCTATTCTGTGATAACCAGTTAGCCATCCTCTTAATGGCTTCTTGGTTGGTTTCATTCCCAACATCTTGCCAGGTACCCGTTTCCAAATTCACCATTTGCACTCGCCGTTCCAACAAGCCTTTCCCAACCATGGCCAGCTTCTTCAAATTCTCCAAGCTCGAGTTGTCAACTTCCGCAATGCTGCCCTCGAGCTCCGGCGTCTGTCAAAAAGAAAAATTCCAAATCCACGACATTTGTCAAACTCGAACTTTTCTAGTACCTGAATCCGAAGGAAGTTCTGCTCGCACACACTAAGTCGGAAGAGCGACGAGATGGTGTGGTCAACAATGTCGGCGCTTGCGTTAGAGAGCATGTTGATGATTGGAGCCCCGTTCTCATGAACCACCCAGCCGAGAGCCCCCCATTTTGCTATCTCCTTGGCCGTGTAGCTCACGGTTTGATCGCCACAACCAAGAGATATGACCAGCAACTCCTCGAACCTCTGATAGCAATTCACAATAGCTAACACGAATGAAATATAGTTATCTATATACCTCGAGCAGTTTAGTGCCTACCAATCCTGGATCCTGAGCTTCTGAATCCTTCAGAGCTTGAACAATGGCTAGAAAAGTCTTCACATAGATAGAAATTAGTTGAGTAAAAGGACTAGAGCTTTAAAGACCGTATGAAAAATTACTGGATTGTTTGCGGCGAGGCCACCGTCAACCAGGTTGAATTCCACTCCCGTAGGCATCTGGAAATATTTTGGAGGCAGATAAGTTGGAGCCGCGGTGGTGCCCCGGACAACATCTCGGAGAAACGCATTCTTGGATTCGTTTGTTTTGGCCTGGAAGTCTTGAACTTCTTAAATATCAGAACACAAAATCATGGACGCAAACCTCTGAAGTTGTGAAGAACACAGGCTGCTGGAGTTTAGTGTCAAAGGTTGGAATGACGAGAGGAACGAGTGTGTCTCTCATCTTCAAGTCTCCAATATACTCGTGGAGGAGGCTCTCCATAGGCTTCTCGGAGTACTTTGGCCCGAAGAGTCCAGCAGCGCTTTTGAGACTGTTAAGAGTGAGAATTCATTACTAGGAGCTCGAAAGTTTTTTCCATCTGAAAAAGAACAAGGAGAACACACAAGTACTGCGGGAATATCTTCTGCGCATTCGCAAAGTAGAACCCAGTGATCTCTTTCGCCATGAACATTGGCCGATTGTCTTTGCTAGGCGTCCCCAGCATTGCGGCGATGATCCCTCCGGTGCTGGTTCCAGCAATGGTGTCAAAGTAGTCCGCGAGCCTGACACTAGGACCATCTAGCTCCTGACAGAGAGAGATCAGATCAAAGCCAATAAAGATGACTCTGCTTTGATAATTTTCCCAAAGAAACCTGTAAGCAATCCTCAAGGTACTCAAGAATTGTCGCGGGAATAACACCCCTCACTCCACCTCCATCGATGCTCAAGATGCACTTCCTCCTTCTGCTTGTTTCCATGAAATTCTTGTGCGATGGATAATTGTAAACAGGTGTAGTTGTGCCAACATTGGATCATGCATATATTCAGGATCCGTGACGTGTTTGTTATTTGCCCGTCTTACGAGACGTGCCTGTGAAAACCAACAGTGCAACATTTCTCTAAAATAAGATACATGCAGCATGGACGATATATTGATCTCAAGACACCTATATCTTTTTCAAATACATACGCAATTGGATGCCTTGCGTAATTCTGTATTTTAGTTGGCGTGTACGTGTTATCTTTTATATATATATATATATATATAAAAGATATTCATATAAGAGATAAATATCTTATATCATGATTGTATATTTGGAAATCCTATCAACTAGTTTGCGTTTCTTGGGCTCTTCAGACGGCTGGGTTGCAAGTGAATGGTGCAAACCTGCGAATGGCCTCCCCGTTGTAAAAGTTGACCCCCTTGACCGGCTCCTTGACCAGCTGTCTCCTAATGTTGACCAGGTCGGCAAGGTTGGCCGGCTTCGAATACTCAACTTGCTGGAGGTCTGATCCAAGAACAAACTACATTATTTGGATTCTTACGCACAGCCCGAGCTAAAAAAGCGCCGAGACCACCATATCCGAGCTTGCGTTGAGGGCCACATTCGTTATTAGCTGTGTCACCCACCATCCCGCGGCTTTCTTGTCACAGTTTTGTTGCCACAGCCAAGTGATAACACGAGCAAATGCTCAAACCCCTGGAAACCACATACCCAGCAGCACCACCCTGTGGTTTTGGAAGGCACATACTTTTGATAGATCTACTTGGGATTAACACTACACTCGGTAGGAGGTGATGGATTCCTGTTGGTGTCTAGGCAGTAGTCATATATCAAGAACTTGGATCTCACCACGCCCAGCGCTTGCTCTTCTTGAACGCTCAGCTCCCACGAACTCGGCCTATCCCACCAGGGGCTGCTCGTGTTTGCGAGGCACGCAGCGTCCCCTTCGTCGCATCCATCCACGGTGAATTCGGCGTAGGACGCCACGAACGGCGCTCCACTCCAGTCGATCTTCTCTTTTCCACCGCGCGTCGCCCAGCCGTCGGCGTTCCAGATGCTCGAGATGAGCCGCATTGGCTGTTTGGACAGGAACACGTCTTGGGTGGCGCTTGTGAGCCTGTGGACGCGGACGGGGGTCTTGTCGACGTAGAACCTGCGACTTGGAGATAAGATCGAGCAAATGAATGAAAGGAAAGCTTACACAATATGATGCTTGTTCCAGAGGAACGAGTAAGCGTGGAAGTCTTGAGAGGGATCAAACCAGAGCATCAGCCGCTGCTCCCTCTCTCCCTTTCCATTGCTATAGACGTTGGTTTGCAAAGTATATGGCTGCCCGGATCGGTTGCCAAGGAACTCGAAGTCGAGCTCATCTCGGTTGTCGGTCTCGGACGATAGCTGCGAAACAAAGGAAATAAAAGTTGAAGCATCGAGAAAGACGAAGATTTACGTAGTAAGCAGTGACAACTCCGGCTGAATCACCCGGAACCAGCTTGAGATTCATGCTGATGAATCCAAACAGGTACTTTTTTATCGTCGAGAAGGCGGATCCTACAAAGAAAACGTAAAGGAAAATCAGTAGACTATTGAAAGAATGTTACTTACCAGAGTTTCTATCGAGCATTAGCTGCACAAGGCTCCCATTTTCTCCAGTTGTTTGTACATGGTCGTCAGCCCACATAACAGAGAAATTCTCGTCGAAAGTTGGAGGCCGCTGCTTGGCCTGCGCGAAGCTAACAGCAAGCAAAAGAGCAAAACCAGCAACAAACAAACGCTCCATTCTTCTCTCTCAGTCACTCACCAACAAGAAGCACTCCCTCCTTTCTTCCAATCCCATAAATACTGCCGGGGAAGAATTTTCTCTGTAAAGCTCACCAATATTTTAGTGGTAGTTTGAAATAAAGGAAGAAAACGTTAACTGATGCAGGCAAAAGGTTAAAAAGGGCTGATTGCTTCAAAAGCAGTGCTGGACAGATCCAGCTTTCTTTTGTTCTGACCTCGTCTCTCAACATTTTTTGGCTCGGCTGTAGAGCTGCAGTACAAAGGACTTTTTTTAGCGTTGCAATACTTAAGCACCAATTAATACAAATAACCTGGGGTGCATAACGCTCTCCACTTCTTCACACTCTCATGACGATCGGTACTGTCTCTAAATACTCATCGCAATCATTGTCGAGAATCAGTCACAATGAGATTTGCTTAACGTACCCATGGAGTACAACAGCAAAATGCAACTCTGGCTGTGTTCGATTTGATAGTTTTTTCTCTCTATATGGTACTACAAAGCGTCAGGCTCCAGGCGCTTCTGGATCGCATTCGCTGCCTGGCAATACGTTCGCGTCACATTTCACAAGATCAAAAGAATGACAGGTGCTTACTTCGAGATTCCCGAGACGATATTGGTACTGCATTTCCTCACGAAGTTGGGCTTGCTCACGCATCGCTTGTGCCTGCGGGATTTACCAAAGGAGTGGAGATCATTTAACAATCTTTACGGATGGACTTATTTGAACGCACCATGCCAGTTTTCATCGAGTGCTTTAGTTCTTCAATGTGTGCCTCTTTCTCATGCTCCCGCAGCATTTTTAGTTCTTGCCTGAAACAGAAATGTGTGTATGATGGGAAAATCCTATCAGAGCAAAATACCTTCGTTGCTCTTCATCGTTGAATTCTGTCCGCTCCACTTCGACAGATCTGTATTTGGCGCCCTTCTTCCACTCCTTGAACATCTTTCGCTGGTGATACTTATCAACATTGTAGTACCTACGAAGAAATCAACGTTAAAAAAAGCAAGAAAAACCTTGACTCTAGCACTACTGACTTCTTCGAGGGAAGTGTTGCAGTGTTATAATCTTCCATGTACCTGTAAAACAACAAGCCACGACATCAGGAAATTCCAAAGCACACTGTCTCGAAGGAAAGAAAATCCACAAAGAGCGACAGGTCATGCAACTCAATGCTCACATAATTCGAATGCACGCATGAGAAAAAATTCGTACTCCTTAAACATTTGTCTCTCCTCCCAATTCGGTAGCGTCTCCAGATTGACCTGCGTAAGAAAACCAAGCAACACAGTAAGAAGAAGAAACGATTTCTTTTCTGAAAATGCCTACTTTCTTCACTTCCGAAAGCCATGCGCTAAATTCCGGCCTCTTGTTCCTGCGCATAAACAAAGCTTCGCAATGCCATCCAGAAACATATTGAAAAAAATTTATAGACCCACCACATATCGATCTCCTTGATAAGTCCATACTTCCCCCATGAAGCAGTCACAGGCCCACTCTTCTGGCGCTCGGCCTTCTCCTTCTTCTTCTTCTTCTTCTCCTCCTTTCGCTTCCCCTTCCCCCTATCCTTGCGTTTCTTCTCTTTATCCCTGCTCTTGTGCCTTCGCTCTTCCTTGTGCCTTACTCGGCTGCGTGAGCGCTTACTCACAACGTCGCTATCGCTCTCCTCCCCGGACGAGCTACTATCAGATGATCCTCTAGTTCTTCGTCGATGATGCCGCTTCCTACGCTTGCTCCTGCGATTTTCACTCTCGCTGCTACCGCTATCGCTGCTCCTGCTCCTCGAATCGGATTCTTCATGCCTCCTCTTCCTCCTCCTGCCGCGCTTCCCTCCCTCGTCCCTCTCTTCGTGCTCCATTGATGCCCTAGCCCTAATAGCCGTTTGACGGAATATACCATCTTTGATTGCACGGAGCATCTTCGCATATTCTAGCTGGGATTACCATCGGACGGTGGAGGTTTTCTCTGAGCAAGATATAGCCCACGCATTTCCAAAGTAAGTACGCCCTAGGGTTTGGAGCTGGGAGCGAATTGCTGCTATGGCGTCGAGGCGGGCGCTGGGGCAGCTCCTCCGCGCGGCATCGAGGAAATCTTCGTCCCAGCGAGCGAGGTGCCTGTCGTCGCTCTCCTTTTCTTCAGCGCTCCTCCCGGCATCGAGGAGGGCATCTGGGGATTCGTCTTTCAGTAGCGATGGCCATGGCCTGGGCACTAGGACCTACGCCACAGCGGCGGCCGTGAAGAAGGATCCGGAAGCCCTGGGCTACATTGCTCAGGTGATTGGCGCCGTGGTGGATGTCAAGTTTGACAAGGAGCTGCCATCGATTTTGAACGCTCTCGAGGTCCAGGATCACTCCTTTCGCGTCGTGCTCGAGGTCGCCCAGCATCTGGGCGATATGACCGTCAGGACGATCGCCATGGACACTACCGATGGGCTCGTGAGGGGGCAGAAGGTCTTGAACACCGGAGCTCCCATCACTGTAAGTATTTCGCCAATGTAGGTTTCTTTACGTCATGCATGACATTGTCTCTAGATTCCCGTTGGGAGGTGCACGCTCGGCAGGATCATGAACGTGATTGGAGAGCCTATCGATGAAATTGGGGATTTTGGTAAGTGTTACTCTACAGCGCTTCGTTCTAATGAAAACCTTTACTTTTTGTTTTCGCAGTCACTGACCATTATCTCCCAATCCATAGAGAGGCTCCAGTCTTCACTGAGCAGTCCACAGAACAGGAAGTTTTGGTGACGGGAATCAAGGTACGATGCAAATGTACATTTTTCTATACTGGTTGACAAGCCATTCTTTCATCCAGGTGGTGGATCTTCTTGCACCATACCAACGAGGTGGGAAAATCGGACTTTTTGGGGGTGCTGGTGTCGGGAAGACAGTGCTGATTATGGAGCTTATTAACAATATTGCTAAGGCTCACGGTACACTGGCCACCGGTTTTATAAGCTACATAGCTCACTGGTGATCTTTCAGGTGGTTATTCTGTGTTTGCTGGTGTCGGGGAACGCACTCGTGAAGGAAACGATCTCTACAAAGAAATGATTGAAAGTGGTGTCATCAAGCTGGGTGACAAGCAAGTAAGCATTGCCTTGCATTGTTCTTATCTAACTAGTTCTGTGTTCACTTGGTTTAGAACGAAAGCAAGTGTGCGCTGGTGTACGGGCAGATGAATGAGCCCCCGGGTGCTCGTGCTCGCGTTGGCCTCACAGGATTAACCGTGGCAGAGTATTTCCGTGATGCAGAAGGCCAGGACGTGCTACTGTTTATTGATAACATTTTCCGTTTCACTCAGGTGCTGTGTTTTTTCACATGGAATGTTCCCTCATTCGTTTGAAACATACAGGCAAACTCGGAAGTGTCTGCTCTGCTGGGACGAATTCCTTCTGCTGTCGGATATCAACCCACTCTGGCAACAGATCTTGGGGGTTTACAAGAAAGAATCACGACTACTAAGAAGGGATCCATCACCTCAGTGCAAGCCATCTACGTGCCTGCTGATGATCTAACAGATCCTGCTCCAGCGACGACTTTCGCTCATCTTGATGCAACTACTGTGCTTTCACGCCAGGTACAGCGACACTGTTCTTATCTTGCAGCCTTTTGACACCTTCGCTTTTGTTTTGCAGATTTCCGAGCTTGGTATCTATCCGGCCGTGGATCCTCTTGACTCAACCTCTCGTATGCTGTCTCCTCGTGTCATTGGAGAGGATCATTACCAGTGCGCTCGTGACGTCCAAAAGGTGTTGCAGAGCTACAAAAACTTACAGGATATCATCGCCATTCTGGGAATGGACGAGCTCAGCGAAGACGACAAGCTCACCGTGGCTCGGGCTCGGAAGATGCAACGTTTCCTGAGCCAGCCTTTCCATGTTGCGGAGGTTTTCACAGGCTCCCCTGGAAAGTACGTGGACTTGAAGGAGAACGTCGCGAGTTTTCGGGTCAGTAAACATCAAAAGCTCTTCTCATATTTTCCTAGCAAGCAAAGGACTGAAGTTTGGATTCTTTGCAGGGTGTTTTGGATGGCAAGTACGATGATTTGCCAGAGCAATCTTTCTACATGGTTGGAGGAATCGATGAAGTGGTCGCAAAGGCTGCTAACTTGGCTAAGGTTTCCAAGGAGAAGTAAGCAAGTGACAAAGGAGGCGGCTGCTGGAACTCGGTGACGATGATGAACAAAGAAGTTTTTTTGGTGCTTCTAAGAACTTTGAGCTCGGGGATTTTGGCCGCGAGCTCTAAAACTCCAGGACTCTTGTTGCTTGTGAACGGTTTTGGGATATTCCAATAATGGTAACAATAACCCGAGAGAGAGACTTTTGCTGTTTCCCGCCAAAACTTTGCTCTAGGGTTTTTGTGCTCGGCTATGGCGGCCAGGAGCTCCCAGGGCGCGGCGCGGTTCTCCGGCAAGGCTCCAGATTACAAGTCCGACAAAGGTGCGTCTTCTAGAGTCGATTCTCGGCCAGCATTCGCTGATTGGATTGTTCCAGAGCATTGCAAGGATCTGCTCAGGAGTTTTGTGGATGCCGATGGGCGGATGAAATATCTGGAGATGCTGGTAAGCGAGCGAGGAGTTTGTTTTGGTTCTTCTCATCGTTTCTTCCATTCTTTCTCAGCAACAAGTCGCCAATAGAAAATTGCGCTCGGTGGATATCTCTCTGGATGACTTTTGTAATGTAAGATGTCTTTCGATTGATCGTTTTCTTGTTCTTATTGTCTCTCTTTGCCTTCTCCAGGATTTTGACGCTGAGATGCTGGTGCAAAGAATTCGGACCAACACAAAGCGCTACCTTGGATTGTTTGCTGAGGCCATAGATGAGATTCTACCCGACCCCACGGTGCCTATCGATGTGGATGACGACTATGAAGTGCTCATGCGACAAAGGAATAATGATCCCAGTGAAAACGCTGACAATGCGGATCCACGTCAAACGCTTCCTGCCGAGATCAAACGATACTTGTGAGTTCTTTCTTTGTAGTGAGTTTGTTCTCTGGATCTCACCTTTGTCCTGCAGTGAAGTACATATTACAGCTCTCGCCAGTGAGAAGCCTCGAGCGCTGAGGGAAGTCAGAGCGTCTCATATTGGACAACTTGTCAAGGTCAGAGGCATCGTTACTCGTTGCTCGGACGTGAAACCATTGATTCAAGTAGCTGTCTACACATGTGAAGAATGCGGGTTTGAGATATATCAGGTTTGAGCATCTGGATTGAAGTGGCTACATTTTGATTTTTTATTGATAGGAAGTTACTTCCCGCACGTTTATGCCGCTGCTGGAATGTCCTTCTACGAGGTGTCGTACCAACAACGTCAAAGGGAGGCTTATACTTCAGCTCAGAGCATCCAAGTTTTTGAAGTTCCAAGAGGTGAGTTAGAGATTTTATTTCTTTCTTAATCGCTTAACCATTTAAAACAACAGGCCAAGATCCAAGAGCTAGCTGAGCATGTCCCTAAAGGCCACATACCACGATCCATGACCATCAATATTCGTGGTGAACTGACTCGTCAGGTAGTGTTTAGTTCAAGGCTTCTTCTGTGCTACTCTTAATGTTGACCTTGCAGCTCGGGCCTGGAGACTTGGTAGAGATATCTGGGATTTTCCTCCCAGTTCCATTTACCGGTTTCCGGGCGATTCGTGCAGGACTCGTAGCAGATACGTATCTGGAAGCTATGTCCATAAAACATACAAAGAAACGCTACGAAGAGTTTGTATTTTGTTTCTCTTTTATCTTTCTTGTTTATAATAGTAGCCTGTTTACAGATATGTGCTTAGTGGAATTGAGCAAGACACAATCGAAGCGCTTGCTCAAGACGGGCAAATCTATGACAGGCTATCCTTTTCCATAGCTCCGGAAATTTTTGGTCATGACGATGTCAAAAAAGCATTGCTTTTGGTTCTTGTTGGAGCACCAACGCGCCATTTAAAAGATGGTATGAAGGTAAGTTCTCGTAGTTTGTTTCTTTCCTTCTTGCTTCATATGCTAATTGTCTTAGATACGAGGGGATTTGCATGTTTGTTTGATGGGAGACCCTGGAGTTGCCAAGAGTCAACTTTTGAAACACATGGTAACCATCGCTCCTCGGGGAGTTTATACCACGGGTCGGGGTAGCAGTGGTGTTGGTCTGACAGCTGCAGTGCACAGAGACCCCGTTACAAACGAGATGGTCCTTGAAGGCGGTGCATTGGTATGCTCTCTTTTCTTCTCATAAAGTTTGCATTGTGCTGACAATCGAACTGTTGGCAAGGTTTTGGCAGATATGGGCATTTGTGCTATCGACGAATTTGACAAAATGGATGAAACAGATCGAACATCTATCCATGAAGTGATGGAGCAACAGACTGTAAGCATTGCCAAAGCTGGCATCACAACTAGTCTAAATGCTCGGACCGCTATCCTTGCGGCAGCAAATCCAGCATGGTAAATCCTCTTTATGATCAATGATATGTTGTAATCTTTTCTTTTCGCAAACGGCAGGGGACGATATGATATGCGACGCACGCCGGCAGAGAATATCAACTTACCACCGGCATTGCTTTCCCGATTCGATTTAATGTGGCTCATTCTAGATCGAGCAGACAGAGAGATAGACTCTGCAATGGCAACACACGTTCTTCACGTGCATACACACGGTGTACCGCCTCCTACTGCTGGCGATCCGCTGGAACCATCCATGTTAAGGTACATGGTCCCACTACAATTGTCGTAAGGTAATAGTTTTTCATGATTTTTTGTTGCAGAGCTTACGTCGCCATGGCCAGAAGAGTCGTCCCTTTTGTACCGCGTACCTTGACAGAATATATTTCCAGCGCCTACGCAGCTTTGCGCCAAGAGGAGGCCCAGAGCAACGCACCGCATTCTTACACTACCGCACGGACTCTGCTCAGTATAATGAGAATATCAGAGGTGATGGTTTTCTTTTGTTCTTTGCTGGTTTCATTTTGTACTAAAGTATAAATCTTCAGGCATTGGCGCGTCTCAGGTTTTCCACCACGGTGGTCCAGAGCGACGTTGATGAGGCACTGAGGCTGATGCAAATGTCCAAGTTCTCGGTGTATGCGGACGACCAGAGAAAGACCGGGCTGGATCCAATCTCCACTATATACACTATCATTCGCGACGAATCGGCAAGGCTCAGGACCTTGAGGCTCAAGTATGGAGATGTGCTCAACCAGATCTCCGTCAAGGTTTTGCGATGCCAAAGTTCTCCGCTCTCTTTATTCTTTAATGCTTGTTTCATTTCCAGGGGTACAAGGAAGCTCAACTCAGGCAATGCTTGGAAGAGTACGCGGCTCTCAACGTCTGGCAACTCGATCCACAAACTCTTGACATACAGTTCGTGGACGTATGAGACGTATGAGATAAGTATATCTTGAGGAAAGAGTCTGGATAGAAGAGAAGTTACTGGCACAACCAAGAAAGATCGAGGGAACTTTCACGCACTCCACACGCTGAATGCGCTGCGTGCGTTTAGCCACTTATCAACCAAGTTGCCGTGGTGCCTCTGGAGGACGTCTTTGAGGCTCTCGGTGTTGTTCACCCACGCCAGTCCCTCCTTGGTGTAGCTCTTGGCGTTAAAGTTTGAGGTAAAGAATCGATCAGCTTCTAGCCTCCTGTGGGAAAGCAATGCAATGTGTTAAAACTGTGACTTGGTTCTAGCAGTTTTTACCTGGTGGCCATGAGGAGAAAGATGAAAAACGACGTCTCGCTAATGGCGAAGCCTTTGATCTTCTTCTCCGCCAGCAAGCCGACGAGCAAGTCGAGCTTCTCCACGTCCTCGCCGTATACCTCCCTCAGCAAGGCGAGTGTTTGTTTGTCATCGGTGAGATCCTCCCACTTCTTGATTGGAATCATCAACATGTTTCTCCGAAAGGCATTGTATCTTGCAACTTTTCTTTCGCGATCACGGTAAACTGGGACAAAAAGTGCAGAGATGCAAAGATAAGATCGAGGAAAACAAGCGTCTGGCAAGAACAGAACTTACTCTCGAGGGCGGCCATGTCGACGTGATTCGGGCGGTTTATGCCGTCGGTTCCAGTCTGGGGAAGGTCCCTCATCCACTGCGGATAGTTGAAAAGAACGAGCGCTCCACAAGCTTGATGCCCAAGCGACGCGATCATTCTCTCGTTTCCAATGCTACCAGCGTTTTTTCTCCCTCACTTCCAATGAGCTCGATCATGGGAATTCTATAGATCACAAGAAAAAGTTTAGTCAGGAGTGGTAAAATTAAAAAAAAAGAGATGGAGGTACCTCTTTCCAGTGGCTCGAGGAGTCTTGGTTTGTTTCTCTTCCCCACTGCCAGTGATGTCTCTCAGCACAATGTCGTCTGGTAGCAAAGGATGGAGGCGATAAACGCACGTAAACTCCTCCGTCAAGGCGTAAGGAACGCCGTGGTTTATTGGCTCCTTCATTCCAATAAATCCACTCAGCAGCGAGGATCCAGTGTGCCCGATCCAGCTCTTGATTCTCTTCCCCAGTAAACCATACCTGGATGCACTCTCGAAGTCAGTCGAAATCGCTAGAAAAGGTGGACGTAAAGAAGAAAAGCTCACCAGTTTGCATGCATTCCAATGTCGAGCGCTTTCGTCTTGAGCAGCTCCACAGTCCAGTCGATGGTGTGAATCTTGGCAATCACGGCAGCGACGACCAATCTCGCATGAAGGTAGAGCTCTTCGTCCCCGAATTCCGGATGCGTCCTCTGGAGCGACGATTTAGCGGCAATCCAGAGCTAGAGATCGATCGAGGCACACGCACCTTGAGCATGTCACACACGGCATTGTGCTCCTTGACGAAAAGCGCCTGGAGAATCGAAACCCCGGCCCAGGTGTTCTTGACATCGCCGGAGATGGCGACGCCGTGATCGTCGCGCTCAAGGAGGCCATTTTGGCCGATCTTAAGTTTTCCATCTTTGCCAGTGCGCACCCTCGCCAGCGCACCGTCGTGGCTCCCGTATAGAACACTCCCATCCCTAAAATGTAAAATGAAACTTCCCTCCAATTACAAGAGTTTCATACCACCACGATGTTCTCATGTTCCTATGCCCCAAAGGGATGTCTTGCGAGCCCGTTTCGTCCTCTTTCGTGCGGAGGAACCGAAATTCCTTCAAGGGACACTGCGCTGCGACTGATTCCGGAGCTACAATCTCTTGCTGGATCGAAAACAAAATCATCCGTGAGAAGAATCCTTGGCTTCGATCACACGAATCATACCTCTTTTGTGTCTTCCTGGTGGTCGACCCAGTCGTGGATCATAAACTGGATCCAGGACGCCGCGATCATGTTGAACTGCTTGCCCGTGTCCGCGAATTCGGATTCCTTTCTCGACAGAAATTTGGTCGCCACAACACTGGGATGTGGATCCAAAAGTTCCTGCTCGACGCAAATCGAATCTCATGAGAGAGAGAGAGAGAGAGAAGAGAGACCTCGGATCCGGATGCTGGAGCAAAGGCATTTCTCCCAATGAATGATCCATAGTCGCCACTTTTGACATTGACGTGCTCGCCACTGGATTTTTTCTTCCGGAAAGGCGGAGCTATGCAGTCATCCTGCGCGGCTTTTTTCTCTTCTTCTGAGATTGGAGGTCCGACGTACTTCAAGTTGTAGTTTTGGTGGAGTGTCCTCCGGATGTCGAGATAAAACAGCGAGAACACAAGCGGGAGCTTGTGCCACGCCGTGTGTTTGTCGACGAAATGGACGATCTGGTATCATCAATCACAAAGGAGGAAGACCACAAGAGCAAAGCTAATTAGTCTTTTGAGAAATCCATAATCGCAACGAAGTCTTTCCCACTCTGAAAATGATCCGGTGCTTGAAGCTCATGCGCTTGTACGCCTCGTTGATCTGAGCGTCGCTCGACACTGCGCCTCCCATTCTCGCCCGCTCTGTGCTCTCTGCTCTCTTGTGATTTCCTCTTGTCAACTATGGGGACAATATAAAATGCTGCGTTACACTAGTGCACTAATATCGACTTGGGAGCTGTCATTTTGGAACGGACTGGATCAGCACGTCGCCAACCAGCTTGTAAACCAATTAGTTAGTGGCAATCAACTGCGATAAGAGTGACTCTGTCACTTCGCGTGGAGCACGAGCCAGGCCAGCCGTATGGCATGTATTTTAATAAGCTTTCAACTATCCGTGCATAGCTACAACTCACCAACCCTAGATTAGACACAAACGTCCCTTTTCTTCTTTCTCGGCACTTGCACCCTCTTGCGATTCTGATCAAACTCCCACACAAGGCCATGGCCAGAAAGGTGGCGCTCCTTCTCCGGGGGTGAATGCTCGGTTTGTATGCTCTTGCAAGCATTGCTAGCCTGGAACGAAACCATGCATCACAGGCGTGTGTATAGAGGGTTCAACAGACTACCTTAGCTCCCGAGGATTCTCCAGCAAGAAGTTTTCTTTCACTGCTGCTTGGTTTGCTCTCTGGCAGCTTTTTGGAATCATCTGCGTTGTTTTCTAGACCCGAGAGCGTCCTCTGAAGAGAGACAACGAAGTGATATGGCATAACTGATAAGCACAAGCGTGAACCTCCACAGAACGCTGGCTTTGTCGCAGAGCCTTCCGTTTTTCATATATACTTTCGTCGAGAGATTTCAGTGTTGCAGCGGCAGCCTGTTTCTTCGACTCAATCTCAGCTATTTCTGCAAGAGAAAAAACTTGAAAAACAAACAATAAAGATGCGAGAACTGGTTTACCTGAACACAAAAGCTTGTACTCTTCCCGAGCTCGACGGACGAGCGAGCCATCGATCTTCATAAAGCAGTCGGGATATTGCTTGCTGTGTCTCGTCGGACTCTCAACCTTCCTTCTCAAGTCTTGCTCGCTCAGCTCCTGCTCGAGGACACAGAGTCTGCTGTTTAGAATGGTGATCATGGATAGAATGTCCGTCGAAGCTTCCGGAGGCATTTCAGTGCTGTTCTTGAGCCTCAGCGCGTGAGAACTTTTAAGTCGAAAGTTTACCCTGTCGATGCTGGCCACTGTGTCTCGAAGCGTATTACGTGTTTTGTCCCTTTCCGAGTTGAGATCGCTCTCAATCTCATTCAGTCTTTCTGTGAGCTGTTCGATTATCTGGTTTGCTTGTTTCAGCTGGTCATTCGCTGTCACGTACATTTGCCTCATCAACTCTGCCTCGTTCAAAGCTCGCAGCAGCGAGGCCTTCGACGCCTTAAGTTGCGCAATCGTCGACATGGCATCTTGCAGCTTGTCTTGACCTGTAAAAATGGTGAGTACAAACCTCATGAGCATAAAAACTATAAGACATAAACCTGTAGAAACCTCTCGCTCGAGTTCGGTAATCTTTTTCCACAAAAGAGAGCTGGACTTGCGGTCTTCTAATAAATCGCCTCCTATCCTATCAGCAGCAAGCGTTCAGATGTCCAAACTCTTAAAAACCAACCTTGTGGTCGTCGTAGACGATTTGATAAGTCGCTCACAACGTGTTTCAGTTCCTTGATAGAGTCCAAGGACTCAAACAACTGTTTCTCAGCAGCAATGTATCTGCTTGCTGCTGACTTAAGGTCCTGTTTAAGTCCGTCATTTTCGTCAGACAGTCGTGAAACTGTTTGCAGCGCATCTTTTAGTCGCAATTCTGCACAAAAAGACCCATCAGACGTGAGTCAAGAGATTAAACCAGCAGCATACCATAGGAAAACGCCCTGCTCTGTTCACTTTCGAGGTCTTTGATCCTGTGGTTTAATCTCTCAATCGTCGCGTTAGAATGTCCGTTAGCTGTGTCGACAACCTGCTTTAGCGGCTCAGTCTGCTGTAGCTCATTCCTCAACTCATTCACTGTTGCCACAGCGTCACCAACAAGGAGTTGAGCTTCGGCTGTATCATTTTTTTCATCATTTCCCTTCGCACTTCCTTGCAATGCTTTCTTGGCGCTCTTGAGAATGTGCTCGAGAGCTCTCGTGTCCGCAGCGTCAGCTGAACTGCAAAACAACTAGTTTACACAAAAATCGACGACAACTCTAATAACATACCGCTTGACATTGAAACACTTTGCAATTTCCAGCTCTTCGATTATGAGGTTGTTTTCCTTGACAACCTGAGAACAAGGTCATATATGCAAAGTCGAAACAAGAAAAGAAAAAAAAGGAGGAGAAAAAAAATCAACCTGATGGTGAGATTGTTGGAATTGTGCCAAGTTCTCGTCCATCTCTTTCATCTTCTTTTTCACCCAGAAAGCCCTGGCATATCACAAAGTCTTGAGCTGTTCATCCAATCTCCTCGTAAGACTTTCCTACTTTTCTCGAGGCAAACATTTTTACCCGCTGAAATTCCCATTCTCGGCACCACTGTTGGAACTCGGTCGAATTCCTTCTTCGTTGCAGTTGCTGCCGATCTCTACATTCCTTTCTAGACGGCACTCGGCCTCTGTCAAGCGCTTGCCCATGCCGGCATAATCCGATCCACTGTGCTCCTTCATCGCCGTGAAGAGCTCCTTGAGCTGCAATACTTCGTCCCTCAGGCACTTGTGCTTCTCCTTGAGCAGCGCATTCCTCTTCTCAGCTAGATGATCCAGCATGTCTAGCTTCTCACCTAGCTTCGATTCGTCCATCCGGCCCCCTGGATTCGAGGCGCAAGCCGCCGCGGCCTCTATAATCGCCGATCAATCGCCGGAAGGGCCCAAGAACATGCCGGGGATCGAAAAACCCTAGCGAGAACGCTAAAGCCACCAGTTTATAAATCTCAGCCGTCAATTTCAACTGTCAGTTTGAATTTCGCGGGCTCAAAATTTTAAAGGGGCTGCGACCAGAGTTTAAGTTTCTTGTCCACGCTCGCGGTTGCCAAGATCAAAACTTTGCCTTGATCTAGCAAGAAAACAAGAAAGAAAGGCGTCACAAAACGTTCCTCTCTAACAAATTGATTCATATACCTGTGGAGACGCTTTGAGGAGCCCAGGTAATGCAAGTGATTTCACCTGGAAAGTTTTCGAGAAATCAGTGATCTCGACTAGAGTTCACGAGAACTTCGCACTTACCATCGTGTGCGTTCTCTGCTGTATCAAGAACTTGGCCGTCGGCAGTGCTTAACCACGTCAGAGTTGTCCCGTGCGTGGCAGCGAGAATTTTATCGTCCGGGGACACGGCGATCTTCTCGTACAAGCCATTGTCGCTCGATAGAATCGGGAAGACTTTGATACATTTGGGATCTTCATCCATCTGGTATCTCACTGCATAAAAGGCTTTCAGTACAACACGAGAATGGAAAGATCTGCTAGTACCGTTAATGTTCCAAATTCTTATGAAACCATCTTTCGACGCTGTGATTATCTTCTGTGAATCCCATGTGAAGCACGTCCAAGTGACAGCGCTCTACACACGAAACCATGAATCAAATTACGTAGTTTACGATAACGTCGTTACCTTATGGCCCTTCAGCAGCATGACCTTCACCACATCTCGAACCTGGCCATCTTTTCCATAGACGATCTCCCAAATCTAAAACCGGAAAAGGTTCAATAGAGCCTCGTACAGAATCGAAACAAAGCCTACCTTCACATCAGCAGTGAAAGCGGCAGCGGCAAGGAAGCGGCCGTCCGGAGAAATCGTAGCCATTGTGTTCTGAAGCTGGTTCGTGTCTACAGTCTTCACGCAGGTGCCATTCCCTGCTGACCAAATCTTGATGTCGGTGCCTGGAAAAAACATGCAAAAGCGTGAGAAAACCAACCACAGCACAGATAGAAAAAAACGCACCTTCAGAACAAGTGGCGATCAAGACACTCTCGCCATCACCACTTCCATATTCGCAACGAGCGCCAACACAAGTTAGCACGTTTCTTCGGTCATGGATTTGCGTTTTCCTCCATTTTATTTCCGGCGGCGGGACCTTTCCCTGCTCTCTTGCTTGCGCAGCACCCTTTCCTTCGGGAGCACCAAACATGAGAAGCCCGGACCCGTTGATGTCCTGAGTAGCCACCACAATTTGCGCAGCACCTTGTCCATCTCCAAAGGCTACCCCAGTAGGAACTGTTCCAAGGGGCACATTGAGCCTCAAAACACTGCAAAACGAAAGGCAAGATAGAACAAAGAAAACCGGAAAACCAAACGGTACATACTGCAAGTTTTTGCTGGTGGGATCATCCAGCTTGAAAATGCGCACCACTCTGTCAGCACAGGCTGGTTGGAAAAAGATCAAACAATCATGCCAAATACTCCAGACATCGAAAAAACTGAATTTTTTTTTCTACCTGTAGCAAGGCCACGACTGTTGGACGAGAATGCAATGCCTGTGATAGCATCGACATGCCCTTTGATAGCGTTGAGTTCCAAACGATGCCGAGGAGTAGGCCGTGCCTGCGCAAAATGAGAATCAAGGACATTAGTCTCTACACTAACTAAAGAGAAATAAAACCTTCTCCAAAGATCCTACAAGTAAATTCAATAGCTTAGCTCTTGGACATTACCTTGGGCTTCACCTGTGGCGCTGCCTTCTTCTTCCCAAGCTCCTGATCGGGGATCGCTGGAGGACGAGGAGGAGGAGGAGAAGGGGGAGGGGGAGAAACTCGCCGCTTTCTAGCCGGCGGAGGAGAATGGTGCTGCTGCTGCTGCTTCTTCGCTTGACTCGCGACACTGGATTTCTTCCTGATCAAGATCCATGCTACTGATCTCCACACAGCCAGCACAAATCCAGCGGTGAAGCGAATCACCACAGCGCATGCGCATCCGGCAGCGGCAGATCCAAGAATGGCGAGTAGCAATGCGGTGCCGTCGTAGCTCTCTCCCATCCTAGGGTTTTACAAAATTTTCGATTAGGGTTTTAGGCTATGGCTGCGAGGTGCCTGGCGAGCGCGCTGGTGCGAAGGCGCCAATGGATGATGCCGATCGCGACTTCCTCCGCGATTACGAATCCAATGCGGTCGTTCTCGTCAGGCGCCGATGAGGAATTCCAGGTAGCGCCCGAAATCTTGAGGGATCCGGCTATTGGCGACGCATTTCATCTGGATACAAGTAATTTGTGGACGATCTTTAGAGGTCCGGTGTGCCTTGTGGCTACATTCCTGGACAGCATTCACGTTGCAACTGGAGCTCCCTGGTATGTGCTTGACAATGTCTCGTGCTTGTTTCAAATATTTCGTTTTTACGTCTTTTCTTTTGATCAGGTGGATTGTCCTTGCGGGATCAACAATTGCTGTGAGGGCGGCCCTTTTCCCTGTTACAGTGATCCAGCTACGAAAGACTGCCCAGCTCGCGCAACTCTCTGGAAAATGTAAGCTCCATTTTGGCCTTTTGAGATCTCACTTCTCACACTTCACGTCCAGTGCCCTCGCCAGTTCCTCCTCCTGGGAGTGGTGTCACGCAGTTAGAGCAATTCAAGCTCTATTCTCAGAAACGAAAGGAGCTTGGAGTTCCCAGTCCTGCATGGTGTTTTGCTTCTCTTTTCGTTCAAGTAAGATTAGTAGGATTTTCATGAAAACAAAAAGATTTACGTTTATTCTTTTCTCCACCAGGTGCCTATTTTCATATCCTGGACTTTAGCGATCAGAAACATGGCCATAAACAAGTACCCTGGATTTGAAACAGTCAGTAACAACTTTGGCTTTGTAAATATTTCTGATCCTTCTCCGCACAGGGTGGTGCTCTATGGTTTACAGACTTAACTGTTCCTGTCAGTGGAGATTTAGGAGCTCTCTTACCGATATCACTTTCCGTTGCATACATTTGTCATATCGAGGTAATTTTTGACTGGAGCTATTGTCAAATCTAGCGATTGTGCAGTAGGTGTCTTTGAAAGGTATTGAGCCAAAGCCCGGCATTGTGGGATCTTTGCTTTCGGTAAGAAAACTATTTGTCGAGCAGCGTACTTATGTTTCAAACAGTTCTACAGCTGGTGGCTGCGTTTCTGTGTGATTCCAATCTGTATCTCGGGTTTTTATTTCCCTCAGGTATTTATAGCTTGGTTTGGTTCTGATCTTCAAGCTTTATTGCAGGGTGTTTTCATGTACTGGCTCCCGAACACTTTGTTCTCTCTTGCACAGGTATAAGCCGAGCAATTCTTATTCAGCTTCTTCGCGCTTGACGTTTATGATTTCAGACACTATGTTTGAGAAGCAGCTATTTTCGAAAAAGATTAGGCTTGCCCGTGATGGTTGCACCTAAAGCTTCTGCTGATCCTCGCGCCTCTCAAAGCGAGACTCTTATAAAGGTAAGTTTATCTTAGTTCGAATGTGGTGAACTTTTATAATTTGCGCAGCTCGCTGCGGAACATGTCGTTCGCAAAAATCGTGACGCAGCAGTCCAATGTTTGAAGTGAGTGTTCGTGATTGACATCTGGTATCACGTGTCTTTCATCGTTGAACTGGCAGGGCTGCTCTGAAAAAAGATCCGGAAAATGCGACTGCCTATTTCGCATTGGGAAAGTTGCATACAGACGCCAGTGAATGGGCTGAAGCAACAGACTTGCTTGCTCAAGCAGCTTCAAAGGTGTCGTTGTATCCGAAGCGTGTGTAGCTTGTCTCAATTTACTGTGTTTATCTGTTCAACAGGCCAAGGACAATAAGCTTCAAATTTCAGCCTACTTGGCGCTTGGAATCGCTCTGTACAAGCAGGTTGGTGTTTTCCATCAATGGCTACCGAATTCACTATATTTCTTGCAGGGTAAAATAGGCGAGGCCACAGCTGCGCTCAAGTGCGTGGCTAGCATGGAAGAACCTCAGGATGGCGCTTCCCGGAAGAAATATAATGTGGCCCTTGTGACTTTGGGAAGGTACCTATCTTTCAAACACGCTGATCTCTGAACTCTTTCTTCCTTTTCTTTTTTCAGCTTGTTGAGCCAGGACGGACAGAAATTTGCAGCCTTGGAGTATCTTGAGCGGGCTGCACGGTACGATCCCAAGGTTGGCGACCTTTATGTGGAACAGATCAAGAAGGAACTTGCTCAAGCTAAAGAAGTTGAGGAGGTCGAGGAAGCTGATGTTCAGGCAGGAGACAGTCATGTACGAGGAAAAGTTGAGAGCAAGAACTGGTAAGTGTTACGTACATTACAGTATTGACAATATCTTCTGCCAATTAGATCTTTAAACTGCGAATAATCCTTGGATGGACTCTTTCATGGTGATCAAACGGAATTTTGTGTTGAAAGTACTCCGGTTGTTCTTCCGGAGCCCTGGTAGGTGTACATTCGTTATATATTCATTCCATCTGATTGACCCGATGTCAAAGCCAAAACCTTCTTTTTCTTCGGGCAGCATTTGCTCGTACAGTGTTTTGGTGTTCGTTATATCAAACCTGTAAGCAGGTTCAAAGCTGTTACAACACAGTTGAATCTCGGAGAAGATAGCTCACCGTCCTTTGTAAAAAGTGTAAGCGGAATAAGTTTCTACGAGCTGATCAAGTCTCTCTGCGAGGATAGCGGTTCGTTTGGCAGAGTTTTGAAGCTTGCGGCTGCCAGATAACCGTGCAACCTGAAAAGAATAACAAGAATTTAAGGCAAGAAAGTTTGGAGGTCTTACATGGATCGGGAGGCTGTAGCAGAGAAACTTATGGACGGAGAATGCCAACTTGTTGTCGTAGAACGTCATCCTGCGCTCGACAGGATTTCCTCTTTCATCCAAGACTGGATTGGACTGGAAATACTCTTCGGTACACGCTGCTAGTTCCCGGAACGTCAAGGGGTTCACTGTTGAAGATCCAACGTGATAGACACTGAGGCCGGGCCGTCCAGCGTGAACGCTCATGGCTGCTAGAAGTGAGTTCACAACCATGTCTGCTGGAATCTGCAAGTCACAAACGAACTTGTCAGCGGACAGCAGTGACAAAGCAAAATGGCAACTCACGACATCGAGGACGCAGTCCGGATCAGCATAGAAACCCGTCAGGTGGCCAAGTCCATAGGCAAGAAGCATTGGGTCCATCATCCTGTGTAAGCTCACATTGTTTGCTCGCTATGCAGGTGGGAATACTCCACGTACCTTGTGCCTTGGATCCAGCCTCCAAATGGCTGTGCGGAAGTTCCTTCCACCACCGACGGGCGAAGAATGACCACGGGGACGTCTCCTCTGCTTTGGGTGACGAGCGTTTCGCCCATAGCTTTGGTGAAAACGTAAGTGTCTTGCCACCCGTGAAGCTGAGCTCTGCGGCATTACAAGTCAAGGCCAATACCTCCCAATGACCGCGTACCTTTGCATTCCCAGCTCTTTTAGTTCCTCAGAAGTGGCTTTTATGTTTCTTACAGAGTCAATCTCCTTCCACACGTCCAGAGGAGGAGCTATACCGTTCGACATGCTGGCGAGAGGTTTTTCTAAAATTCTTCCTTGTCTGAGCCCGTTCGAGTATGCTGTCACCCAGATGCATCAAAACGAGAATCGTGTGCGACTTCCGGCACTTACCAGTGGAGACGTGCAGGAACAACTGCAACCGTGAGCACTTCTTTGCAAACTCCAACAGGTTTAGCGGTCCTTTCGTGTTGACGGCCAGAGCTACGTCGTATCTTACAGCCAAGAAAGGGAATTTGCAAAATCAGCGCAGGAATGGTACGTAGCCGCGAAGAACCAACCTTTCAAAGAACTTGGTGGTCGCGGCTGAGTTAACCACAACGTCCAACTGGCTGAGGAGCTGCTCCTTGGTGTGCTTCTCGAGTCCCAGATCGTTCTTCTCCACGCTTCCGGGGATGGCAACGAGCTTCTCAAGCATGAACTGGCGATAGTCGGCCCCATACTCCTCCCGAATCAGCTCAAACAGCCTCGACTCCAGTATCTGCCAGGGAAAATTCAGATTCAGAGAAACAAAAACTCCGGCAGGGAGGCGTCTTACATCCTTCTCGAGTCTCTGCCGAGCCTTCTCGTGACTGTCAGCGTGCACGAGAAGGTAGATCTTGCTCACTTTCGGCTGCGCACGCAGGATCTTCTCAACAAGCACTGGAAAAAACAAAGAGAGCAGATGATACACGACGTTTCGAGCAGAACGCCAGCGCCACCTTTTCCGAGGAAGCCCGTAGCTCCAGTGATGAGGATTCGTTTGTTCTCCAAGAACGGGAGGATCCCAAGCCGCTGCTGCTCGACATGGCCAATCCGTGGAAAGGCAGTAGCAGTAGCAGCAGCAGTGGCAACATTGTCGCGCGTTATGTCCAGCGCGCAGCACAAGGCACGACGGCGAGTGGACGAAACCCGGTGCGTCTCCAGCCGCGAAGAACAAGCTATCGAGTTCCGACCACCGGAAGAACCAGAACCAGCTGACCGATAGATTGCCGCCTCGAAAGACAGGGAGGGAGCCATTCTTCTGCACAGCAGGAGAGCATAGAATCAAGCGCTAGCGCTTTATCCTGTTGAGTGTTGAGGAGGTCACGAGGTGGGAACACAATTCGATCGCATGTACAAGTCGGCAAAAAAGTTCCGGAGTGTTTGTGTCCACGCACTTGACATTCGATCTGCAATTACGCCCCAAGCTACCCTCCACCACGCGATAGGTGGATTCAATTGACACCTGTGAAAGCGATCCGGCGAGCGAGAGCTATCGATCTTCAAAGGAAATAGAGAGAAGTATCTCTCTCCCTCTCTCTCTCTCTCTCTCTCTCTCTCGCGTGTGATTGTTTTTTGTGCCGGGGAAGAGAGATCGAGGACAGGGTTCGGTTTGGAGGTCAAGCTTGGGTCCCTGCATCATAAAAACACAAGGAAGCGCAACACGCTGCTCTTCGATTACTTTCTCACCGCAGTGTTTTGAGCTGATTCGCTTTGACGTTTGCTCGATTGTAGGTGCAAACGCTACACCTTCAATTGCGATAGGCTACAAGCCGTGTAGTCTTCCGCTGAATGCCTTTTGAAGTACGTTCTAGAAATATGGTGGCATATACCATGGAAGCTTTAGTGTCTGATTCATATAATTAGTTAATTCTTGAGTGCTAGGGAACAAATTCTGGTAAAATGTTTTTTGTGTCCAATTTCAAGAGTTGGTACCAATTGAATGATTAGATATTTCTTTAACTACCTGTTAAAGGATACTACTGGGGAGAAAAAGAAGGAAAGATGTTATTCTGCCTGACTTACGATTGTCAAAAATAAATACGTACCTTAGAACTAAACTAGGTTAAGAATAGATTTAATGTGGGAAGATGAAAGTTTAATGGCCAAATTTGTACATAAAAATGAATTAGTTCTTCCTTTAGTCTGCTGCATTAACAAGTCTCTTCGCAATTCCTGCTGTATATCTCCCTTGGTGCTCAGCCAACTCAAGCTCGGTCTGTGTTGGTAGCCTGGAACCATCACCAGCAAAAGTTCCAGCTCCATATGGGGAGCCACCCCTCAAATCATCCAGCTTAAACATTCCAGCACCAAATGTGTAGCCGATCGGGATAAACACCATGCCGTGATGAGCAAGTTGAGTGATCGCAGTCCATCTAGAAGCAAGTCATAAGTTCAGAAGATCACTCGAAGCAAAAGATGGAAATAACTCGGACTGACTTACGCTGTCGTTTCTTGGCCACCACCTTGGGTTCCAGTGCTCACGAAGAATCCGGCTGGTTTTCCAGCCAGCTTTTGCTGCTGCCACAAACTCCCAGTAGAATCGAAGAAAGCTTTCATCTGAGCGGCCATGGCACCGTAACGCGTGGGGAATCCAAAGAGAAAGGCGTCGGCGGCTACGAGCTGTGCAGCGGTGATGGTTGGAATGGACTCATCCTTCGGCGGCGCGTGCATCGTGTCCAACACCGCCTGTGACAAGTTCTCCGCCACTCTAAAGAGAAATCCCTCCGCTCCATCCACGCTATCCACGCCTTGCTTGATCTTCTTGGCCAGAGCCTCGACGTGACCATACATGGAGTAGAATCTAAGCAAGCGTCGAGTGAGAATGCGCTCTATCTTAGACCGAGATCAAAGATCGAAGGAGAAGAAAAAAAAACTCACATAATGTAGACTTTGATGGTGGTTTCGGGAGGAGAAGATGGTGCTACCGCCGCTTCCACCGCTGGATCGTCCTCATTCTCGACTTGGGCTTGCTGGATTTCGTCCGGACCGCATTGGGTCTGTGGCGGATCGTCTCCTGGATGATCGCCATCGGGCTTGGAGGAGAGCGGCGAGGAGCTCTTGTTCTTCCTGGATTTGCTGGGTATGCATCCGCCCCCTCTGCCCATGACCTAAATGCCCCTCACTCGATCATCCCTCTGGCACCCAGACAAAAGAGAAGAAGAAGAGGATTTCTTCTTCTTTTTTTTTTTTGCTCGCTGCGTGGGATAATGTGCTATGATGCAGTTTGTCTGTCCTTTAGCGAATTTGGCATCGTAAATCCAACTTAGCATTTCTTGCCAATGATCAACTTGTCTACTGACGTACCGTACGTAGCTCTTGAGCAGTGGCTTTTACGGAATTGATCTCTTTCCACACGTCCGGAGGAAGACCATTCGACGTGCTAGCGAGAAAATTCTTTCTTCCTTTTCTGTTGCGGCACTTATTATTAACCGCGGAAACGTGCAAGAACGACGGCAACCGTGAGAAAGATCGCAAATAGGAGCTGACAATCAGCGCAACTTGCAACTCGTAGGTGGGAGCAAGAGTTAACCACAACGTCCAACAGGCTTCCTTCCTCGGATCGATCACAATTGGAACACTTTTCCGAGCGACTGGGACTGATGAATCTTCGATCCCTTTGAAGTGTAGACCCTTGTGAGGCCAGCTGAGCTCTGAGAAGTTTGTCCGTGCTTGACATAATTACACTTAAAACAGATGATGTTTGATCAATGTTTTCTCGAGGAAACAACTAGCTGAAGGTGAAGATCTCCACCTAAGCTTTCTGGCGGTGTGTATGAAATTTGTAGCATTAACACGAAATATGGTGATATATACTGGCAGTGAGAGTGGGGTATCAAATGTCGAAACTTCCACCTTTCTACAGTACTTTAGCGAGCTGCAATGGAAGGTGCCTTTGGCAAAGTTTTGGACCATGACAACGTGATAGAAGAGGTTTCAAGAATGTCGCGGTTTGGTAATTTAATCTTTTCTCCCCCGCGTCGTCGTGGACTTTTGCAAGTGTCCATGTTAATCATGTCCTGGAGAGCGGCTACACACAATCGTGCATGCGCGACGTACAAAGTCGGCAACTTGGGTGTTTCCTTGGTGAAATCTGGGTTTTATACGCAGCGCTGCCTAGCCTAGGATCGACCGAGCTAGGGGAATTTTGGTAATCCAATCGATGGAAGAATCACAGCAGCAAAGCACCAAATTCGATGCTCCCCCATCGCCCTATGTCCCGTCGCGTGTCTACTTGGCCCAGATCTACTGGAAGAAGCCCGCGATTGTGGTGCTCCGGGTGCTCCAATTCGTCTTCTCGCTCATCGCATTCTCGGTCATGGCGGATCTCCTTCACGACGTCCAAGGATCAATCAAATCCTTGAGGTATGTCCCAATTCTCTGCGAATGCCCCAATTCCCTCCCCTCTCTCGCGCGATCTCGCACACACCAACGAACGACGGACTCAAAGTTGCGAGTGCTCTTCTTTGCAGCTACACGGTGGCCATCGGTGTTTTGGCATGCGCGTACGCTTTGGCGCAGCTAAGTTTCTCGCTTTGGTGCGTGATCCGCGGCGCCACGTCTTCGTCTGGGGTGACTCCCCTGTACCAATACGCGACATTCATCTGCGACCAGGTCCAAACCAACGCAATGCGGATGAGATTGATTCTCATGGTTGATCTTTCTTTGGCAGATGAGCACTTACTTCCTGATCTCGGCCGCATCCGCCACAGCCACACTGATCGACGTTTCCGGGGTGTGCGGTTCGAACGGGTCCGGCACCAACCTGTGCTCAAGATCCACTGCCTCCGTCACCTTTGCCTTCCTGGCGTTTCTCGCCTTCTCTGCCTCCTCGGTTCTCACAGGCTATTATCTCGTCAAATGCATCTTGAAAGCCTGAAAAATTTGTTAAAACACAAAAATCAAAAACCCTTTTTTTTTTTTTTTTTGCTAAGACTAGTTTTTGGAAGGATACTGGGGGATAAGAAATCTGATCTTGCACACGAGCTTGCTGATCATGAAAAGCTGACAGCTATGATATACTATTCACACCTGTACAAAAATCTTACAAACAGTGATAGAAGAGAAAGGAAGGAAGCAAATGCCACGCAAACAACTCCTACCTCCCAGGGCCAGCTACACTTATCTCTATCATCTTCAGGTATTTGCTCGTAATCACCACCACTCCAAACTTTTAAGACTTTCGATCGCCTCTCTTAAATAGATGAGATATTTTCTTCTTGCATGCAGCCATGGCACCTGGTGATTTACGGGTGGTGCCACTTGTTCTTGCTCTCGGGGCTGTACATCCTGAAAATCCAGGAACACAAAAAAGGATGAGAAAAAAGTTCTGACTCGGAAACTACAACCATCGACATGGAAGAAGCTCTCTCTGATCTTTCTTCAGGTGTCCAAGACACTGATCACTACCCTGTATGAGAAGTGATTGGTAGCGATTCTTACGATCTATGGACACCAAATCTGCTAAACTCTTATCTTATCTAGAGAAACAAAAAAGTTCCTTAGAGCTTGTAAGAAATCCATGCAAGAAGCACTAAAGCATGAAGAGATAGAGCTTGTAAGCAATCCATGCAAGAACTAACTAGAGCATAAAGAAAGAGGAACCAGCTAGAGCTCGGACGAACAAAGGCTAGAAACCAAGATCATGAGAGAGACGGCTTACCAGTCGTACACGGACGGAGAGTTTGGTGTCACATTGTCGTAGCGAGCGGAGCCCTGGCGCTCCACTGCCCGCGCTCGCCCGCCTCCCGGATGGAACACCGATCGCCAAACGTTATCTTTGGGCGTGGTTCCTGTTCACGAGAAGAGCACAGTTAAATTCCAAAGACTCCCTCAAAATCTAGACAAGATAGCAAAGAATCGTGGGAGACAAGGCGAGGACTAGCAAGATCTTGCAGATATTACCGGGCGATCCAGCCATAGAAGATGGGGAGCCGACGCTAGAGGCGGCTCCCGTCGGGGTAGCCGGCGCGGACTCGTCGCCAAAGCTGGCCGATCGGATCAGCGGCGGGGGGCGGATGTTGATGCTCTGCGTGACCATGGTGCTGGAGCGCCGATATTTCGGGTCTCGCGCGCCAGGGGCGCCGAGCGGATCACCTGCCACAAAGATCGACCGTGTGAGCAAGAAAACGATCGCAATAACGCTGCCAGAGACCATCCAAGCCAGTGAGATCCCTGGCGACCGCCTTGGCATTCTTGTTGCGCAGCATTCCCAGGCCTCGATCCGGCTGAGGCCCGGCCACCACATCGTCCCACAGCTTGTCAAGAAGCCCCATGGTGGATCAAAGACGAGCGATCGAGAGAGAGAAGACGCTATAAACCCTCTCAAGAAGAAGAAGAAGAAAAAGAAGAGGAAACAAACAAGCTCTCTCTCTAAACCCCTACCATGTCCCCCCAAGCATCTTGCGATCGCAGCCGTCCACCCAGTTACCCGCCATCGCCGTGGCGTCCATCCGCCGGCCACGTCAGCCCGCCAGATATCGCTATCGTACGGAGAGAATATTCAGCCCTGTAGAGAGACCTTATCCGGTTCCCGACCGTCGGATCCCCGCCCTCACGTGCCCATCGACGACTGCTTGCTGTCACGCGCGACGATTGGCCCAGATCACCATTTACCCACGGCGAAATCTTTCACCCGGCCAGGAAACGAATCCGTCAAGATGCCAAAAGCATCTACGAGCGCATCCAACGGCGGGGAATTTTTCCGCGCGGAAAAGGAAGGAAATATAAAATGTGGTCGCCCCCACCCCCACCAAAACCCTAAAAAAAGTGACAACACAATTGTGAGCTCAAACCACACAAAAACGCACACTCGCCACTGCCCTATCTGCTCCCCTGTTCGTGCCCTGTTGGGGGCGACGGTGGCGACGCTCAATGGGCTCTTCTTCCTCGCCCATCAGGTCGCCTTTCCAACAAGCTCCATCTCGCCTAGTTCTATCCTTTTCCTTGGTTTTGTCCCCTTTGTTTTTTTTTTTTTTTTCCTCTACTCTTCGTCTGGGTCGTGAGGTGAATAGCTCTTAGGGCAACCAAGAGCTTGAGAGCTCTCCAGGGAGAGAGAGCTAAGTAACTCCTCTACTGTCTCAGAGCTTTTTAGCGAAAGAAGAAGAAGAACGCAGCAGCAGCAAAAAAAAAGATTTTTTTTCCTTGCCCTTTTTGTCAATTGCCTGAGTAGTTCCTCCTTAGGTCTCTCCGTCACGGCCTTGCTTGCTTGTCCGCGCGAGAGAGAATTATTTATCCATACTGTTGTTCCTCTTTCCTTCGTGATTCTTTTTTTTTTCTTTGTTCTGCCTCTTCACTTGGTTGGTTCTTTGCATGGGAGGTGTTTAATCCCCTTGGAGCTGCTCCTCCACAGCAGTAGAGGAATGGGGAAGCAGGGCCCTTGCTACCACTGTGGAATTACCAGTAAGTTCTCATCCATCACCATTAAGCTACAAGGTTTGCCTTTGTATACTCTTTGTTTGGCTTGCTTGCAAACTTTGACGTGTTTCCTTCGTTGTAATGAACGTTGTGCTTTTGCTGCTTGTTTGTATCACCGCGATGATTGATACGAAACAGCTCGAAGGCAAAGATATATGACATGGTTTTTATCTCTCTGTGTATCCTGGTCTCATAATCGAATCAAACTCGGTTGTAATTGCCAAAAATGCCAGCGAAGAAACAAAGTCTTGTGGAAAAACCTCTCCAAAGTTTGCTCCCTTTGATCTATAACTTACTCGTGTGCTGCTTCGTGTTTTTGTTTTTGCCATCTTTCCAGCAACTCCACTGTGGCGGAATGGCCCCCCGGAGAAGCCAGTTTTGTGCAATGCCTGTGGCTCGAGGTGGCGGACTAAAGGCACGCTCATCAACTACATGCCAATGCACTCGGGCGGATTTGGAGTTGGGAGTGACAAAGCGAGATGGAACTCTAACCGGACCGCTCCAGAGAAGACGATCATCTCGCGCAAGAGAAAGGAACCATCGGATGGAAACTCGGAGAGCGCTCTCTCGAAAACCAGCACGTATTTCTCCACCAGCGCGGAGGACGATGCCAGCACGCGATCGAGCCTCGGCTCTGAGGTTTCGACGTTCGATGGTCCCTTCTACAGATCGGCCGTTGCTCCTGGTAACTGGTTTTCACCGTTTTTCACCGTTTTCTCTTCGGCTGAACTCGTGAATTTCGTCCATGCAGTGCGTGGAACGCCTTGGGACACTCCAGTTCCATCTCGCAGGCGCACAAACATGTTCCGATCCCGGGCCTCCTCGGACAAAATCGCCAGGAACCTCGTCTCGCTCGAGGAGCAAGAGGTGTCGTCGGTGACGTGCCCCGAGAATGGTGACGCCGTTGTTTTGTTCGAGACAAAGTCACCGCTGGTAGCGGTGGAGATTGGGCTTGGAAGTGTTTTTATCCGGCAGCCTGCGCAGCAAATCGCCCAGCAGCAGGAGCACGAGTCCGAGGCGAGCTCGTTGCTCATCGATAGTGGCACTAGAGGAGGAGGAGGAGGAGGAGCACACGAACTCGGTGAGGTTCCTAGTCAAAGTACCGGGCTCTACAATTCGGCCCCGTTGAGAGGAAAGGAGAAGCTCGCCATCGGCTACCAAAGACCCGAGACTCATTACAATCCCAGTAGAACGCTCTTGTAAGTATCTCTTTATTTTCTCTTTCTAGTCTAGATTTCTCTATGAAGCTTTGGAATGATTTGAAGCTTCTTGTCTTCCAGAGAAAGTTTCCCCTACAACAAGAGAAATGTGCTGCAAAGCAAGCAGTCTCCACTAAACTTCCTGGAACTCAAGGCAAGCTTTCTCTATTCTCTTAAAAGGATTTCCTGTAACCTGTTCTTTCGACACGATTGAACAGGATGTGATTAATGATGATACGTTTACCGAGCTATTGACGGATCAAGAGCAACTCCAGCTTCTAAAGTTCCTCTCCTCGGTGGACATCTCGCATTGTCCACAAAGGTAAAAGCTTTCTCCTTTCTTTCTTAGTATCTGAGAAAGAAAACTAAGTGGAGAGTGCTCTCGTGCAGCTTGAGCAGCATGTTTAGCAGCTCCCAGTTCGAGAGGGCAGTGTCCAACTTTCAGCGGCTTCTTTCCGAAGGAATGTTCGACTCGCCCGAGGCTGGATCCAGTCCTCGCGTTTTGCAGCACTACCAGCAACTTCTATCGGTCACGGACTTGCCAGCGTCCGGATGGGCCGAAAGCTTGTCTCAGCTTCAAAATCAAGCTCGAACTTCCAAGCGCCGGGCTGAGGTGAAACCAAACTGTCGCGTTTCCTTTTTTCATCTCTCTCCTATTTACGTTACAGCAGCCACCGTGTGGCAAAGAGCACAAGCTTCTCAAGCCTCCCTGCGCAGGAAATGCGTCGCTGCTCGCGATCGAGAGTAAGAAAAGGTTTCTCTCGAGGACTCAAAACCATCTCTTTTTTTTCTTTCTTTCTCTCTGAAGGGACGGACGACTCAAAACTCCATGGAACTCACAAGCAACACGAGCTTAACCACGGGGTCTCTTCAAGCAGCTCGAAACCAAGCCAGGAATCATCCGGCCCCCGGCGAGCTACGACTTCCTCTTTCCTGCCCGAGTCCACGGCGATTCCAGCGCGAAAACCCGTGAAGAACAACCTCATGGAGGAGGGCCACGACAGCGGTGGCGAGCAGGACTTGCTCGTAAACGTCCCCTCGAGCATGTCCTTCCGCCACGACGCCGAGCTCCTGCTACTCCAAAAGCCACCATCCATGGATCATCTCAGGGACAAAGGAGGGAATGGAAACGGTGGGAGCAATGCGAGTGGAGGCGATTGCGCGGACTTGATCGTCACGAACACTTGGCATTCGACCGACTGGGATGGATTCTTGTGGACGAGCCCGGCATCGGCGAGAGGAGGAGGATCGACTAGAAGGCGGGTTCTTCCCAATGGAACCGTGCTCAATCCGTAAGTAGCAAGAACGGGAACACCGAAAAAAACGAAGAACAAAGAGAAAACGAAAAGTAATGTAACTTTTCCCGGTACATTTTGAATTTGCGAATATCCGCGCTATCTTGTCAAAGTCGCTACAGTTTTTAGGGCTCTTCATGGCGGGGCTGTTTGATACCCAGGCGGAGATCTACGCGGCTGCGCGCCCCGATTATCCGGATTCCCTCTTCGAATTCCTGGCGTCGGTTACGCACCATGGATGCGTGTGGGACGTGGGCACTGGAAATGGGCAAGCTGCGATCAAGGTAAGCCAAGCCGGGGTTTGTCTAGAATTTTTGGGGGTTTCTTAGCTCGCAGAGATCTTCGATCGAGTGATCGCGACGGACGTGAGCTCCCAGCAGCTCCAGCAAGCCCCGCAGCGCCCAAACATCAAATACGCCGTGACTTCCAAATCGATCACCCGCGACGAGCTCCACTCGGTGATCGGCCCCGACCACTCGCTCGACCTCGTCACCGTCGCGCAGGCCCTCCACTGGTTCGACCTGGACGCCTTCTACGGCCACGTCGGCGCGATGCTCCGCCGTGGCGGCGACCGCCCGGGCGTGCTGGCCGCGTGGTGCTACCAGCTCTGCCACGTGGACGCAGACGTGGACGCCGTCCTCACCGAGTTCTACGCGGCCACGTCGCCCTACTGGGCGCCACAGCGGCAGCTCGTGGACAACGGCTACCGTACAATCGACTTCCCGTTTGAGCCGGTCGCGGGCCAGGCTAGTACGGGGCCGTTACGGTTCGAGTCGATCAAGCGGCTCAATTTGGGCCAGCTCTTGGCCTACTTCCGGTCGTGGTCCGCCGTACAGACCGCCATGACAAGGGGGTGGCCATATTGGAGGAGTTTCGGCCGGCATTTGAGAAGAGCTGGGCCGGTGATCCTATGGTGGTGAAAACGGTGACTTGGCCTGTCCATCTTCTGGTTGGCAAGCCAAAATAATTGAGATTTCTATCTTCAGCAGCGAGTTTTACAGCAAGGGTCATCCGAGGTCTAAAATAAATTGCTATAGCAATGCTTGGTTGGCTTAATGGTAGTTTTATTATTACTTATTAATTTAATTGATAAAATAAAGTTTATAATTATAAGCATGTTTGTAATTTATAAACACAAGATGATAGAATAAAAAAGAATATACTAGAAAGGGTTTAGGAAAGTTTATAAATTATAAACATGTTTATAAATTATAAATACCAAATTAATCTAAATGAATACCAACCGTTAGATGGTAGAATATCCTAAAATATCTAAGCATATTCTAGGTATATTCACTACCATCCTAGTATAGGTTTGTTTAAGCAAACCAATAAGTATTTAGGTAGCATGTTATAATTTAATCGTTCTCTTTTCGGAGCTACAAGCCCTAGGACCCAGCGAGGTGAAGCTTGTTGTGTTGCTAGCCGCTTCAAATAGATGTGATTTT